AACATTTATAATGTTTCATTGGTGGCTGGGTAATAACGACCCGTATCAAAAGAGTATATCCGGTTCTCTATCTGATTTTCTAAATTTTTAATGAACATAACTATGAGCCATTACCGGAAAATATTTTAACTAGACAAAAAATTAGTAACAATTTAAAACGAAAAGCAGTTGATGACATGTTTGTTGGACCATCGAAAATTTTACATTTTGAATTGAAAAGTGATTATAATGAAAAGATAAATTCTGGAGATGTTTTATTAATAAAAAAAAATGTACATAATGCTCGATATTCAAAGTTATCCAAATTACCAACTTCATTAACACAAATTCACAAGACTTTAAAAAATATGGAATTTAAAACTATTAAAGGTGAAGACTTTTTGTTAGTTAATAATAACGAAATAAATGTATTAGGTTTCTCGACAGTTCATAATTTACAAGCTTTATGCAGTTTAAACACGATATTTGTAGACGAAAAGAAGGGTAATATATTGACAAAAAATGGAAGAATTAGAAACTAAAAAAAATAATTAAATTGAATTTGTGGGGCAATTGTCATTCAACATTTTACCTACTTTTATATAGACTTATAAGTTAATAATTGACAAAGTAAGAAAAATTCAACAACTTAGTACCGATAAAAATGTGCAATTTTAAATAATAATAAATAAATACAACAATAAATATTTTTAACCATACCAACAATAAAACAGTAATGTTGGCAGTCCTAAGTCTGATAAAATGGGAAGGAAAATATTGGCTGTAAATTGATAGTATACATTTTAGTATAAAAATACCCGGAACGCAATTTACACATGCACAAAAAATACACGGGACGCAATTTACATCAAGAAGGTACATCGGGATGCAACTCAGTCACCCGTGAAAATGGTCACTTATGTATTTCTTATGTAAGTACTAAAATGCGGCACGATCAATCCTCCCTCGATCTATTTGTTATGAAAGCTCCTGTTTACTCATTAAAAATGTGTGTATTAATTTTTAAATTACAATACATTTTAGTCAGATGGCTTGATTTACATTTATAACCTAATTACTTTTTTAAAATACACAGAAAATAATAGATTTAGTATAAGTAAATTTTTAGTAAATATGTTACGTCTTGTAAGTTTTAACTTTAGGTAGGGTAGCTTCTCCCCTCACACGGAAAAAAATATAAACTAAATATTTTTAGTTGCCAAGATATAGTTGAAATGACTAAATGTTAGTTAGATTTACTGAAACGTACCTAAATGGTATAATTAACAGAACCAGAATAATAAAGTTGAAAAATAAAACTGTTCAACTGATAATTTTAGTTGAAGCAAATAAAATTACATGGTTGTTTAGAATGTCAACTAAATTGTTTACTTGTCTCTACTAAATGTTTAGGTATAAATTGGTATGCAGCTAATTTTGCTATTTTTAAATCACAGATATCAGTATTTTGAATTTATGTGGGTGTTTCTTCTATTTTGTTGTTTACTTATTTATCAGCCGACGGCAGACGCTGTATATTTCGTTCCCCGGTTCCCTGCTGTCTGCACCCGAAGTCAACCACTCCGCAAGCAACATCCAAATGGCAATAACCATTATAAAATATACTATTAATTTGTCTATTGTCTTACAATCTTAGTCCTTACGTTCTTTTGCGAGTTGCGACTGTATAAAATACATTTTTAATATACGTATAGTTTGTATAAAAAAAAAATTGTGTTTGTTGTCTTGAAACTATTTGTCTGTTAAACTATTGTTACTTGTGAAATTATTTTAATGGACGTCTTCACCAAAAATATTTTGTCCGAATGGGGATTTGAAGATATTATTGAAAAATTTAACGGTAAGTTAATACTTTTTATATTTATTTCGTTAATACGAGTAGTTATATTATAACATCGTTAGGATGCTCATAGTACAATATAGAATATAACTTATTAAGTTTTTATTGTACATAGGTATATAAGTTTTTTTTTTTTATAGTAACATTATTTAATTGTTTTTATATATTTTCATGGTTTGAGCCCTTTTCGCGTGAATGATAAACAAATATTTAAAAAAATCTTATAAATGAAAATTATTATTTAAAAGTAAAATTGGCGTTTTAATCGACTTTTAGCCTTATAGTTTGTTTTCTGAGTAATTATAGTAGTGGCATGTGGCAATAGCACCAAAATACTTTTTAGTTGGTGGTGCAAACATAAATTTTAATCACTTATTTCACCTCTACATCCATAAAAATATTATTTTTATTTAGGTGTATTGTTTCTAATTGGCGATCAATGATCAAAGTATTATCATGTTCATATTAAGTAGATACCTACTACCTACTGGCTACTAAGTGTTAATTTTTCAATTGTATAGACCCATTAACCACTGCCACTACCCTCCTCCCCACGCCAATTTTACTTGAAGTACGTATTCGGCGAAACTGGTACTATGTGGGATATAAAAAGGAACGATAGGTAGATCGTGTTGAGCTTTGTGATTATGACTATGAGTATTGTAGAATTTTTTAAAATCTGTGATTGTAGCCGGTAGGTATATATTTAATGTATTCAGACAATCTATTATTATCTTGTTAATATGTACCTATCATTGATGAATTATTTTATAACCTTCTTAAAAACATAAACAATAAACGTAGCATTTGTAAGTTTTCAAAGACCTTAACTAATACCTACTATAACCTTTGAAAAATAAAAATAAAATTACCTATTTTTAAAACAACCTATCTTAAAAATAACCCATCTTAAAAGTCCTTTTGATATAATATATTAATATTTGATAGGTACCTACTACACATTATTTCCTAGTTTTAAATACCTATCTATATATTTCAGACGAAGAAATTGGGCATGATCAATTCATGACATTAACCGAGTCCATGATTCGAGAGCTTATACCCAAAGTTGGTAGGCGATCTACTTTTTTTAGTAAATTTATTAATTTTAGAGACAATCAAGTGAGTAAAAAAATACTAAAAAAATACCTAAGTACATAGAATTGAATATCTATTTGTAGGTACTTACACACACAAAGTATGTTTAAATTGTATTATAAAGGATAGGTATGTCTTTAGGTATTATTGGGTAAGCAGTAAAAATTAATTATTCTTACATTAGGTATCTGGTATATACTTAATAGTATTAAATGTTGTTTAATATTTTACTATGTTAAATTTATTTAAATATTTTTCATCCATACAGAAAGTTAACAAAGATGTACACTGTCAAAATATTCTTATCAATGATAATGCTGAAACGTCATGTATTTATATTTTTTAATAATTAGCCAAAAATGATCTGCTTAGGTACCTTTAAACAATTTAATTAGATATTCATAATTTTATAGTTTCAGAAGAAACAATTGTGGATGACGTAGGATTTATTAATATTGAGAATTTACCATTTGAAATGGATGATGACACTTCAGTTTTAACACCATCATCTTTAATTATGTATGAATCGAATACAATAATTAATGGTATGTGCCAACTAGGATTAAAAATACATTTTTTCTAAGTTCAAAGTTCAATGAATATTGACTACTAAATTGAAATTGCCATTAATATTTACAAAATAATTTTAGAAAGTATTCCTGCCTCAAGTAGATTGTCAAAAACTATTACTGTTATTGATCCTGAAAAGGTATAAATATTTTTACCTTGTATTCTAATAAAAATCAAAGATCTAAGTTTAAAAAAATTTTCTAGGGAAACATTGTAAAGGACATTTTGAGCAAATACCAAGATGGTTTAATGATTTTAAAATTGTACGCCACAAAAGGCATTTTAAATAATGCTACCAGGAATACTGTAACATCAATATTAGTAAAACATGAATTACAATCAGAACCAAATCACCAAATTTGTAAATCAACTTTTTTACTGTTAGCAGAAGGTAAACAATTAAAATAGTATCTCTTTAATTTTAATTCTAAAACCATATATTCCATGTTTAGACATAGAAATGATTTTCCCTACTGAATCCAAGGACACATATTACACACCATGTTGTAGAACTGGACAAATACAAATTCCAACTAGAGGGAAATTGTATGATAAATACTGTAATATTAAAAAAGAAATTAAAAAAATTGGAGCCCCTGCCACTTTAGCATGTGTTAATGATGATATTGATGGAAATAATGTAATCAATGATGCAGGTACTATTAGCAATTGTTTTTATATTAGTTCTTTAAAATAATTTACCTAAAACTGTCAACAATTTAGAATAAAAATTAATTATTATTTGCAATAGATTATGAAGACAGAATTCAATGGCTAAAAAATAATGTTGTGCCTGAACACATTTTGTTCAAATATTGGCAAGAAATTTTAATTTTAGAATTAAGAAGGCATTTGTAGAAACGCATAATTATCCTGCTTTAAAAAATCCTACAGGCTATTTATTGGTAATTAAGTTGTAATATTTTACCTTTGATAATTTGCATAATAGTTTGTAAATCTAAATAAAATGATTCATTGCTCTAACCTAACCGGCTCAAACCCTTCAAATATTTTGTATTTGTATGATACATTATTTTTGCATTTTTTTCTAACATAATAGTGTCACTAACTTATTTGTTATGTTTATACTTTATTTATATTAAGTTTATTCATGTTACAATATTACATTAGTTACATTATTACAACAGCTTATATTATATTACTTATTTTACCATGCGGGCATCAAACGTCTAACCGATAGCTAACTTATTGACTATATCTACTAATAAGGTTATGACAGCAACAGTGTTGCCCCATATACAACATCCCCCCTTTAAACCTTTTTTTTTTAACAGAAAACAACAAACAATATTATATCCATGTAAGAACATTTTTTTTTTTTTTAAAGAAAACAACAAAACAAAATAATTATATCATAACATAAATTATTCTAATAATTTTTTTGGAATCTTTACAATCCTTCCACTTTTAGTCACTCTTTCTTCTGTGCCAAAGTACTGCATCCATTCAGGTACAATCAACTCATCATCACTTAACTCCATCTCAGTCCCTCCCTCAACATTATTCCTAACTTCCTCAATTTCCAAAACTCCATTGAGCCAAATGGCATATTGTAAGAAAATATTATTCTAAGACAGCCATGAACACTCATTACTATTTTAAATTGCTTGGCCATTTCACTGGCTGTTTTCTGTTGTAGTTTAATCAACTCTAGCCATTTAGAATAATGATCAGCTATTACTAAGAAATCAAAACCAGCAAATGTTAAAACATCACAACTAACGATTTCAAAAGGTAAACTTGGTATCTCATGATAAATCAAGAATTCCTTACTATTAGCATTTCTAAATTTTGAACAAATCACACAACTATTCACATACTGCCGTATTTCATTATCCATAGCAATCCAATAAACCAACTGTTTTGCTCTCAATAATGTCTTGAGTATACCATTATGCCCTTCATGTATCAATTTCAATACAACTAATTTTAATTATTTGGTATCACTATTCTGTTATCATAATATAATATTCCTTGGTCCACAGAGATATTCTCTTTTAACCTCCAATAATGTCTTATGCACTCGGGCACTTGTTTTTTGTCTTTAGGCCACCCCTCTGTAAACATTTTAACCACACTTTTCAATATCTCGTCATTCTCAGTTTCTTTTGCTATTTCAGTCACATTAATATTTTTGTACTCAATTGCATGGATTACTCTATCTCTTGTTCATTTTCTTCTTCATCAAGGTAATTTCTAGAAAGTAAGTCTGCAATGAACATAAGCTTTCCCGGCAAATATTCTACATGTAAATCATAAATAATGAGTTTCATTTTCTGTAACCTTACTGAAATTACTTTATCAAAATTTTTCCCAAATATTGACACCAATGGTGAATGATCTGTTATTACCTGTGTCGCGTGTCCATACACATAATTATGATATTTTCTGCATGCATACACAATACTTAGCATTTCTTTTTCAATTTGTGGGTACTTTTGTTCCGCTTCATTCAGACTCCTCGAAGAGAATGCAACTGGTCTACCCTCTTGCAACAAACAAGCCCCTAGACCTGTTTGTGAGCCTATCACACTGTATTGTTATTTTTTTGTTTGGGTCAAAATTAATTAACACTTGAGGACTTGCAACTATTTGTTTTAACTTGTTTTATACCTCAGTGTGAGCCTCACTCCATACCCAACACACATTTTTTTTAATTAGTCCCTCAATATAGTAATTAGTGTAGACATGTTAGGTATAAATTGTCTCAAGTAATTAAATGCTCCTAGTAACCTCTGCAACTCTAATTTGTATTTAGGTGGCTTTAAACCTAATAACGCCTTAACTCTGTCCCCATCCGGTTTCATTCCCTCATTGCTAAATGTCATACCCACATACTTGATCTCATGCTGTTTATATTTTATTTTTGCACAATTAAATTTTATATTGAACTTTTTTGCCCTCTCTAAGACCTGTATTACTACCTCATCATGAGTTTTTTCATCCTCAGTAGCTATAAGTAAATCATTAAAATATATATACACATTATTAATATCCCCAAAACACTCTATGCTTCTTTTTTGAAATTTTTCTGGTGCACATGAGAGTCCAAAAGGCAATCTGGTAAATCTGTAGAACCCAAAAGGGGTACTAAAAGTACACAGGTTACTTGATTGCTCATCCAATTTTATTCGCCAAAAGCCATTCTTTAATTACCTTACTACTAATTGTTTTAATGATCACTATCAAGCTTTTAATGTGACATTAAGTAATCAGTTATTTTGTCATTCACTTGAAAATTTGGCTAGAATAAATCCTACAGTGTGTTGTAAGTCCCCCAATGGTTTGTGTCATATATCCATACAATATTAGATTTTATGTTACCTAATGCACTTTTATGTTCTCATTCGTTTATATTAAACATTATATTCTTACTATGATTTGATGTCTTGCTATAGCCTATAATTAGTAATTACTATTATTTATGTATTTATTTATGTTCTTTACATTTTATATATAAATATAATATTTTTGTATTTTAATATTATATATACCTATTTATTATATTAATAAACATAATGTCTACCTTACCATGTCTTCTTTCATTATTAATCATTTTCAGGAAGGAGGGGGGGGGGGGTTAAACCTCATGGTCCCCCTCCACGTGAGTACGCCCATCCTACTTCAAAAATTTTAGGTGCAATAGAGTTAATACTAAAGAGGCAAACATTTTTCTTTTTTTTGGAAGGGGGGAATAAATAAATGCAATGGGCTACCAACTAAAATGGAGAGTAAATAAAACTAAACTATGTAGTTGTAAAAATTTCACAGAAAAATATACTAAATATTTTTTACAGGTACACAAACTACAATATTTAGTAACAACCACTAAAATAATAGTTCTTTTGACTAAATAATTATGGTTGATTTAATGAGACAGTATAGTTTGACCAACTAAACTGTTTACCTATATAAGATTAGTAACTGCAACTAATTGTCCAGTTATGCCATATATTACTGTCATTTTTAGTTGAAGTAACTGTAAATTTAGTAATACCAACCAATATTTGTTTTCCGTGTAACATACACACTGATCACTCAATATATTCAGTTATGAAGTTACTTGAAATCCATTGATGAAAAACATGATAGTGGTTGAGAAAAATAAACAATAAATTAATGGTCTAATTTAAGAAAACATTTCACCGATTTGAGAAGATCATTGGATAGCCAACTAATAAAATTGAAAATAAATTGTTAAAATCTGAATTAAGTAATTTAGACTAGAAAGTAAAATTTATTTACTCTGTAGTTCCAAATAAAATTGATCTATTGTGAACTAAGTAAATTATATTATCTAGATTGTGAAAAGCTTTAATTTGTAATTCTCCCGAAGATAATGCCATTGGTGATGAACTGATGTATCAAATAATAAATATTAAATATCTACCATGAAAGTAGATATTGCATTCAGTATCAAAGAATAGTTAACTCTTTTACTAAAATCGACCGTTGAGTATTACAACTCAATGATACATTGGATGTAACTTTTATTTTTAAATCAAAATCAAAATGATGAACTGATGATAAGGGTAAGAGTTTTTGAATAAATCGAATTTGACTATTTGCCAAAGTGAACAAATGAGGTCTCTATACAAAGATAATCAGCAAAAGAGGGATGGTGAAAGAAATTGGATTATAAAATATTTTCATGTAGAACCATCACTTTTTCTAAAAAACTATTCAGCCCAGGCCGAGTAATGCAAATAATTGTAATATTACTAATAGTTTTAAAAATGATTAAAGAAAGAATGTAAATTGACGTATGTCTAAATCTAAAGCTCGATATATAAATGGTTTTTAATGTAAGAGGCTTGAGCCTCAAGTTACAAGTATTAAGATATAATATACAATTTTTTAATGTCAATTATTTTTTACTAACAAAAACTTGGTTATCTACTGATATTTTGAATAATGAGCTTGGATTTCATAAATGTAATATATATCGTATTGACCAAAGTGGTAAGACAAGTAATAATTGTCAGAGATGGTGGGTGGAGTGTAAATAGAGATACCCAAATGTTTCGATGAAAGTCTCTAATGATAGTATTAAACAACTGTTTGAAATGATTTAAGGTGGAAATTTATTTTATTTTATTTATTTTTCGTGCATAGGTACCACCAGGCAGTCAGATTATTAAATATCTAGTTCTTACTGGAATGACTGAATATACTTTTAAATATATTATTATACAATATACATGTTTGATATTTATATTTATACAGGTACATTAACTGGTATCACCCTTTTTGTATTTTTATTACAATATATAAAATAGTTACACTTTGATTATGTCCAACATAATATAATAGAGAAAAACATTAAACAATTCTTTAAGGAAATACAAAAAGTGGGTTAACTTAAATATTTAACACATACCATTTTTACAATTAGGTACCTATCATTATTCATCAAAAATCTATTTAGATTTATATTTCAATCTATGTACCTAGTTATAAGTTAATTTTATTACAAAATACAATTTGACTGCAATATAAAACTCTAGAACAACGCAATTAGTTCATCAATATTATTTATGAAAACGTTTAATTTGCATTATAGCTGATAAATTGTAATCTCTAGATACATCATTGCTGGGAATATTCTTATGCAAATTAAATTGGTAAATGAAAAGAAATGTACTATGTATATAACCAAAAATACTTTTGTTCCATTATTTTTAACTGAATTTTGTTAGTCAAAATGTGTGCTTATATTATATATATATATATTACTACTAACATTCTTTATAGTAAGTACATAGTAAGTACATATTAATAATATTATCTTAAATATTAATTATGAAAACACAAATAAATAAAATATTCATTCAAACTCACTATAAAAAGGTTTTACACGTTGTAATGTTTGCTGCCGAGTTATTGCTTTATTCACAAGATCACCAACATCAAAAATATAAAATGGATCTGATATGTCCTACAGAAAAAAAATGTATAAAAATAATATAACTAAATACAATTCAGTGTATCATCAAAGTATGTAATAATTACTTTTGTTCCAACTATATCCTTAATGATTTCTTCAACAGTCACTTCATTATCAATGACATGAATTTGTTCTTCTTGTCTTAAAGTTCTCACGTTTATTCCGTTTGTACCTAACCAGTGTAATAGATGATAAATTTATCGCCAAAAATGTTAGTGAATTGAAAAGTAAACTGAAAAAAAAAAAATTATGAACACTAAAAATCTTCTTTCAATATTTCATTTTTTTTATTAAGTAAAATTAATTTTAGTAAATTAATTATACAAAACTCTAACCAAATACAATTAAAAAAGATACTAGGTAAACTTCCTTGATAAGCACATATTTCAAAATAATCCATTGAATTGAGACATATTAAATGTATTTACCTAAATAATTTAACTGTTATTAATTATGGCTGATTCTAAAAGGAAATGTAGGCCATATAGCATTGATTATTTGAAGTTCGGCTTCATTCCATTATTGCCGGACAAAAACCTACCTATGTGTCTTTTATGCAACAAAGTTTTAAGCAACGATGCTATGAAACCATCTACACTAGAAGATCATCTGAAAAGGTGTCATCCTGAAAAAACAAGTAAAGATTTTAAATACTATCAAACACAGAAAGAAAAATTTCAGAAGAGACCTACCATGGATAGTATGCTTGCTACCACGTTAAAAAAAGACGATGGCTTGCGGGCGTCTAACAATATCTCACTGCTCATAGCAAATCAGGTAAGCCTCATACTATCGGGGAGCAGCTAATTTTGCCAGCCTTTGAAGAGATCTTAAAAACTATTTTACACAGACCTGCATATGATATACTGAAAAAATGCCTTTAAGCAACAATA